CAACAGGGAGAAAAGGAGGCAGATTTCATGGTAAAAGACAAATATGTAATCACAACAACACACTTCTGGAGAGCTGAAGACAAATGCAGCAAATAAGGAGACATCGAAAGGTCTGTTCCAGAGAAATCTGGTCACAGTGCATGAGAATGAGCCCAAGGTTCTGCAAGACTGGAGAAAGAGGCACCTGCCTGGATCCAGACCTGCGCAGAGTGCAGTTTATTGGAGATTTGTCCACAGAAATGAGGTTCTGGGTGGCAGCAGATCAGTGGACCCCCATGATTTGCTTCAGAAATAGGAGCTTTGTAAAGTGGTCAGGACAGAAGTCCCTTCGTGCAGTGTACCAGTGTATTGTCAATTAATTATTCATGATGTATGTGTTAAAACTGATATTAAGGACGTCAGGCACATTCCTGGTCCTAAAATTCTGCATCCTATACTAATGGTTTGTGTGTTTATGATATGTGGGGGAAACTTCAGGGAAAGATGAGCTAAGACATCGAGGGGCAGTGGTGGTGGTCACAGCTCAGGATGGCTGTAGCATGTACAGCTGTAACCCAACAAGGGTCTAAAACCAGGGGTCTGGCCACTGTACGAGCCAGTCTGTGTGAAGCTCCCTGAAACCTAGCCATGTGCGAAGCCAGGCCTTCCAGATCTCCTGCTCTGTCACTTTGCCCTTCTGGCTTTGGTAGATTTCAGACCTCCAACCATGGACAACCAGTAGCATAAGGGTTGGCTCTAGAGCTTGCTGCACATTTGTGTTTGTATTTTGACTTGTGAGAAAGTTCATTTGTTTCAAAGGTATTGTTAAATGTCTCAAGTCCTTTCCCGGTAATATGGAGTTGTTGTTAAAATATCTCCAGGTCCAGAAACAGACATTATAGGTGGTTGGGTTTTTGTACTGTTTGTTCAGGTTGGTTCTACATAGCTGACTCGTACCCCTGCCTGATGCTGGGCCTCCCAGACTTCATGTGCTGGTTAGTGCTGAGCAGACTTTGACTTCTTGAGCTTCTGTGGGAATCAGAGAGCTGCTGCTGACTATTTCCTTGTACTTCATTAATTGGGCATGGGAGCACCAGGGAACTTCTGAGCTGCCTGATCTCCACAAGTTGTCTGGAGTCCAGCTATCCACCTAAGGCCTCTACCCTTCTGTGGCTGATTTTAAGTTTGACGCAAATGCTGAGTCGCAGCTCTCATTTTTCTCCAATAGCAGTTTCTAAATTGCTGGTTTAAGCACATTTCTTCTGTGCACATAACAGTCATGGTCTGGGCTAGCTTGCTTCCATTAATAAAAGATGTGCTAGCAAAGTAAAACACAAGGGTTGCTTCTGCCTGCAGGAGGTGGGAGCGAAGCTGCAGGAGAGAGGTTTGAGCAGCTAAGGATGCCAAGGGAAAAACTTTTTTGAAAGGCCTTACTTCCATGTGAAGCCCTGCCTCTGTGGCTTTTGTAAGGAACATTCTATATTCAAACATACTGCTTTTGTCTTTCAACATGCCATTATGCCATCATTGCTCTCCACTTTTAATTCCGTAAGCAGCTTGCAGAGTTCCAGAGAAAGCAGTTCTTATAATTCAATGCAGATACTTGAAAGAAACCCTGGTGGGCTCTCCAGCTCTGGGGAACACAGTTCTTTTCAATGATTGCTGCCACTGCCAGGGATCAAACTGAAATGCTCCTCACACTTAAACTACAAATGCGCACAATGCAACCACATGCTGGGCAGAGCAGTGTGTAGAGTGGACACGGGCAGGATGCTCCATGGGTGATGGAAGGAACCAGAGAGAAGACAGGCACTGGCCAGCGCAGCCTTCACTGATCCAGGCACAGGAGTGGGAGGCAGGCTTGTTTGCTGGAAGCTGAGATGAGCCCCCCCGCCCCCAGGCACAAAACCCGTCCTCACCAGCCACAACTCCCTTGAGGCTTAACCACGGTGCAGGTGCACTGCCCTTGTGCGCTGAGCCCTCTTCTAAGATGCCGTGCATGCCTGCTGCTCCTCCTGAGAGCTCTGTTCTGCCCATTGCCCCCCTTGTCCCCATGCACAGTGAATCAGAAATGCCCTGGCTGAGTTCAGTCCTGACTTACACCCCATGGCCTGCAGAGCCCAACAGGGCAGTTTGTTCATTATTGCACCCTCTGCAGGGTCCTAATCTGCTTCCCCTTTCTGCATCTGCCTCTCTGTGGTGCCCTTGCAGGAGAGGGGCTGACAGGTTCAAGAGACTAATTTGTAGTTTTCTGGAAAGGGTAGTGTCCTCTGTCCTCTCTGTGCATGTAGGGACTGCACAGCCAACCACAGAAATCAGGCACAGCACTTCTCTGCAGTTGAGATGCTTACTTGTACGTAAGACACCAAGTATGGCCTTCGTACAACAAAAAAAGCTTTTCAGATCAGAAATAGATCATTCTCTCTAAACTTCCTGTATCCCTCTTTCTTGTCTAGGACTTCAGAAAAACAGGGAAGGAAAGCAAACAGGAGAGATTGTTTCCAACTGCAATGCAATGCTTTAAACTGTAGAATACAGCTGACACTGTATGCAGTTGAGAAATGTTCCCAGGAGGGAAATATACAGAACTAAGCTGCCAGGCAGGAAATAAGTACAGATAGCTTGTTTCAGGGCACACTGGAAATCAGATTTTCTGCAGTCTTGATTACATGGACCTGTACAGTAGTAAATCAGGGATAGTAAGGGCTGTGGAAAGAGATAACATTATGAAGATTTTTAAAAATAAACTGTGGAGCTTCAGATATTTTTTTTAAAATTGAGTTTATTGATACATTTTAGGCATACAGTAAGTACAGTTACATTCACTATTGGGATCTTGTACCTTTCCATGACAGGTCTTGGTTCTCATTTTTTTCCCTTGTCCCTGTCCTCCCTTCACCCCCTCCTCCCCTCCCCATTTACAAACACTTTATCCCCATTTTTTCATTTTCTCCTATTTTTTTTTCTTTTCCCTTATTTCCTTTCCCCTACCCTTCCCACTCTCCCTACACCTTTAGCCCCTTTCTTCCTATTTCACATTGTCAATTATCTCATTAGGAAGCTTCAGATATTTTTTTTCAGCTTTACTTGAGTTTATTGGTACATTCTAGGGATACAGTACAATTACATTCATTGTTGGGATCTTGTACCTCTACATGACAAGTCTTGGTTCTCATTTTTTCCCCTTACTCCTGCTTCAGATATTTTTAACAGCACTCCCAAAACCACAGCAGCATTACACTGAGGGCCCTAACGTCCTGCATGCCCTGCATTCTGCAGAATCACTGGGAACATGAACACACAATCAAGCCTTGGTGTCAAACACAGAGAATGAGGGTGAGGTAGGGATGAAACTTCCTCTGCTCCCTTCTGCTCTCTGTCTTGTTATAGCTCAATCCTTGACAAGATGTGTGTAACTGCTTCACATATGCACTTGGTTCTTCTATCATTTTAGTAAAATGTATTTATAAGTCCTCCTTCCAAAGCAGGTACACCTCAGCCATTCTCAACTTATCTTTTTGATAGTGCTATAAAACAATGCTTCAGATTCTGATGACCAAAATGAGCAGGGATTTTTTTGGTAATTCTATCTTAGTCTTCATTTTAGCGAGGGACATTTCCTTTAAAAACTAACACACAGAGACATCCCCTGACTTATGTGTTCAACTTAAAATTTTGACTTTATTATGGTATGGAAGGGGAAGAACATGCAGGAGAAACCAACAGAAACTGTATTTTAGAGTTTCATCTTTTCCTGCGGCTGGGCAGTGGCAGTGAACCACACCTCCCAGCCAGCCTTTGGGCATCAGGGGAAACAATGGACCCGCTACAGCCTGTGGGTTGCTGATTTACGATGTGAGGCATGTTGCAGGAATTTAATGCCTTTCTCATTGATGGCATTTCTGGTGAATGATAGTTCAATGGGATGTGACAACATTGTAAGCCGTGTGTGTGTGTGTGTGTGTGTGTGTGTGTGTGTGTGTGTGATTGTGTTGGTTTGTTCCTACACTTATACATAAACACATTTGGTATTTAGGTACGAATCTGCTACATAAGGAGGGTTTTCTGCTTGTTGGCTTTGTTGTTTTTTGGCTTTTCTTAGTGCAGGCGATTGTCCTAGGGAATGTTAGCCCTAAGACCAGTGACCATCACACAATCTGTCTCAAACCATCACGAGAAAATAAGGCCGTCCCTGTGAAAATATAGTGTTGAAAGAATTATTCCAGCTCTTACTGTAGCTCAACCCATCACAATCCAATAGCCCTTTTCTTAGGCAGAATTTCCTGAGTCACTGCATGCATGCACAAACCACATAATGACATTCCTCTATTTCTTTTCTTTTCTTTTTTTTTTTTTTTGACATTTCTCTATTCCTAAGTAATACCTGAAGGGTGCTGCATACTTTACAAGTTGTGTTTATGCATAGCTTCTCTGAATTTTTACAGCAGCCCCATGAGGTGGATAAATTCAATACAAACTTACTGTGAGCTCCATCAGTGCCTCAGTGCTGTAATGAAAATAGCACATTTGCAGGCAGATTGTGAACTGGAAAGTGGATGTCCTTTTGGTCTTACAGGATCTCTTTGGTTTGTAACAGTCACTTGCTCTGGGTATGCTTAGATTTTAGGATGAATTTAAAATGCAAATGCTGAAGTGAGGTGAGCTCTTTCTCAAGGCCGATCACATCATTTTGGGGATGGAGAACAGGGGTGAATTGTTACTCATTTCAAAGGCTTAAGACTTACCTCCGTCAGAATCCTGTCAGGCTCTGACTAATGGGGATGATATTCACTTTTTGCATTTGCAAATTTACGGGAGTGGTCAGGTTCTAAAGGAAGTGGGAGCTGTCAAGCCACAGTTAGGCTCAGCAGTGGTCACCTGGAAGCAGCTGGGGAAGGCTGATTTGTAGATAATAGGGACGTCTGGCTTCTTGTTATAAAAGCATCAGTAGCTTGAAGAAGAGAATTTACATCATGGAAATCAGCAAGTCCTCCAGATCAATACTTCTTTAATTATTTCAGAGAGCTGCTTGACTGCAACACCACTGGATTGGACAGCCGAGACCCCCGTGCTACACCCCACACTTCAGTCTCCCCACTCTGGTCTCCTGGATCTGTGACCCGCTTGCAGCGAGAGTCGGCGGTGCCCACGAGTTGTGCCCTCCGTGAGCCTGACCCTCCCAGGCAATCTGAACGAGTGCTCAGGACCCCAGAAACCGCTAACCAATAGGCAGGCAGCCTACTTCCTGGCCCTACACAAGCCTCTTTCCATAGGAGACCTTTTGAAAGGGGCTCAGGATGTCCGCAGGGGTTCGGTGGGAGGACTGTAAAGGCTAACTGGTTGCCATGGGCTTGCAGGACTAGCTGGCAAGTTTGAGAAGGAGCCTTAAAGCCAGGAGCCAGTGCTGGTTGTGAGGAAGCCGGGGGCAGCCCACATGGCTGTATCTCTGTGAATCTCTAGCAGCATGCTCTTGCTCTCCTCAGCCCCCTATGGCTCCAGCTCAGGGCACCCAGCACCTGTGTGCCCTCTCAGTAGTCACTTCGCTCATGCCTTTGGTAACTTTAAATATGTGGTTATTATGTGAACTGTGCATACTGAAAATAAAACATTTTCGTTTTACTCACGGCCCATGGGATAGGTAAGAGCAATTCCTTCCTTCAAGAAATTAAGAAAGATGTCAAAAGAAAAATTGCTTATAAACATATTCTAAGACAGAATCATAACATTTTGGTTAAATTGCTCCTGGAATGATTTTTAATGACTTCATACCAAATATAAATGCATTTACATGACTTTATGTTCATGGTTAAATATTTATGGGGCATATATGTCAGTATAGAATTCTATTCTAGGGTGCAATTCTAGTAAATAGTTTTTTTACTTTTAACTGACTAAATAGCTTTTTAATTTTCACTTTACTTTTTAACTTATTTATTGGCAATAAACAAATTTAATTCCAATAAAAACATCTGGCCTCAGGAGTTGCACAGTGTGGCTAACAAATGGCTAGACAGTAATCTTCTTATATTTATTTTTTATTATTTTAGTTCGTTAGTACCTATGTGTAGTATATAATGTTTACATTTCTTGTGTGAAGTTGGTGCATGCAAATAACATGTCTTAATTCCTTTTTTCACACCCTTTCCTTTCCCTCCCTCTTTCCTCTGCCCATCCCTCGACCCCCCTCCTTTCTGGGGGGAAGGGGAACAGGTTTTCAGCACACAATGTTCACATTCTTTGTGTGGAGTTGGTACATGTAACAGCGTGCCAATTTCTTTACAGCCTTAGCAACACTGGCTATCACTGTCCTTTTAATGCATCTTCCAAATATTATCAAATAGAGTATATTGTTTTTATTTAGGATTTTTCTTAATAAGCCTGCTTTACCCAAAAACCATGGGCACCTGAGTGTGTGCTGATGCCTGGGGCTGGGGTCACCTCTCAATAAGGTCAATCTTGGCTTACAAAGTGGCAGAGACATGAGAGAGGAGAGGCCCTGTGCAGTCTGTGTGTCATAGCCTGCTCCTAACCTGCTACTGTTTCCATTGTTAGGATCTGAGGATCTCCAGGGAGCTTTTTATTGTCACATTCAGGTCTTGTTGACCATCTCTTGTTGCCTATGTGTCTTTTAGGAACTAGGCCATCTAAAATTTGACGTACCATAGTTTTGAGTTTGCCTCTCACTTATGATTTAATTTTTAGAAGGCTCCACATGTGAATAAAGGCCGCACCTGTAAGTTACAGTGATGCACCACACCTACTTTCTCATAATGCATAGTTTAGGGACTTGGCTTCATGGGGGGTGGGGTGCTCCTGAGTGTCTGTGTTATTACAGACAGTTAAGTTAGGTAGAAATATTAGATGCAGTCCGACAGGGTTAGCCTCTCAGTGCAGAGATGAGAGCAAATTATAACTGTGGTTGGAAGCACATTCCCTGAAGGCCAGGCCTCAAGACAAAGATGAAATGATTGCACCTACTTCCCCAGGGATAAACAATAATGACTGATATTCTAAATAGACATCAATCACCTGGATGGGGGACCAAGGCCTTAGCCCATCTTGTCCAGCAAAGGTCCTTGCTCGTTTCATGTACATTTGCTGTGTGACTTGCTTCCTCATTGGATAAAAATTACCTAAGTGATGATACTTGTAATATTACGGATAGACCATAGTTTTGTCCCACCTTATGATTCTGTGCCTACCTTATGATTCTGCTCTATGAAACTTTTTTGAGAAGTGGCTTGGTGGGTAACCTACTTTCTAGGTGTCCCCTTCTGTTTCTCTTAGAAACTACCTTTCTCTCAATTTTTTTTTGGTACCAGGGATCGAACGCAGATACTTGCGTTTGCAAGGCAGATGGCAGAACCACTGAGCTAAATCCCCTGCCCAATATTTCCTATGCTTAACCTCCATGGTTCCTAGAATTAATTCTTTGATTTTAGAGAACACAAACTCAGTGTATCAGAATCTAATAAACTGGGAGTCATAATTCTTCCCTTCAATGTGATCTTTGATGAACTCATCACTCATTTCTCTACACAAATTTTATTTACCAAGCAGGTGTGCCTCCTCTTCACTACTTCAGTGTTTGTTGCTGTTGTTGTTGTTATTATGCTTAATTATCATCATCTTCAGTTTGGTTGATGCTTTAGATAGAGCTGCATATTCTGTAGCTTCCTCCCCTCCTCTTCTTCATCCCCTCTTTCTTTTCAACATAGTAAACTCTCCATGGTTGATCTCATCCTATGATCTGTATTTTATAACTCTTAGAGTAGATAATTATTCCTGTGCACCTACTTGTTACTCAGAGTTGTTGATGTTAATGAGAAATATCACACATTCAAATTGTTTAATGCAAAGGGTACACAAATTATATTTCAAAAGCAATTTATGGGGATAAATTAAGATTTCCTGGATAAATAAAGGATACTTTTATTAAAATACATGTTTTCTTCAAAGAACACTTCTTCCTGTTTTCCTTTGTGTGCATCCCACTTGTGCTGTTTTCATGATCCTGGCCTCGCCTTGCCTACCAGGTACTTATTGTTTTGGTGTGTGATCCTCAATCACAATCTGCTTGAAGATATCTGTTATAAGCTTGATGTGCACTTTTATTTGACTTTGAGTTACTCTCTTTGCTTATTCAAGTGGATTCTAAGTGTCATGAGGTCAGGCAGCTGGTATTATCTTGTTATTTATAGAGATTAAAACCTTGCTATATGCAAGGCACATCTCCAATGCACCTTTGTTTTTTATATTCATAACTTTACATTCTGCCCTCTGAAGGGCACACTGCCTGGCTCCCCAGGCCTTGTACTGAAATCTGGGTGGAAGCCTTCCTGACCCCACAGCCCTTGAGTTCTGCAGGTGCCTAAAGCCAGAACTACCTGGCTGACAACAGGGTCTGCCACCAGCTACAGCAGTATCCAGGCTTCCTCCACACTTGGCTTTAAGGGTTGTATGCCTCTGAACAAAATCTCAAGGAACAACTTCCTCAGGCTGCCGCCATTCTGGAACATGGTGCTCCGGGACTCTCCTCTCAAAGCAGTCTTTCACCTTTGCTGCTCTGAGGTTGCACAGTCCTGTTGGCTCTTGTGATGTTCTTAGGCCATCTTTTGTGTTCTCTTCTTTGGAAATATTTGACTTTTTCTTGCTAACCTTTTCAGTGATCAACTTCTCTTCTGTTCCGTCTTTGCAGGCTGCAACTTTACTGAAGATTCTTTTCTCACCAAACTCACAACATTTTAAACCATTCTGCTGGGCTCTTTGCTCTTGATTCTCCATATAAATCTGGCTAAAAGCCCCCAACAGTAGACATCCACAGCCTCAAAATTAGACTCCCTTGAAATTTCTTCTGCCAGATTAATTAGTCTGCTGCCCTTAATCTCAGCCTCAGGCAAAGTCTCTGGACACAAGCAAAATGTAGACAAACTTCCTGCCAAGGCATAACACACATGGTTTGGAATTCAACAGCCAATACTGTCCTTCATCCCAGCAGAAAGCTACAGAGCCTGTTCTTTACTGGCAGAATTTTTATCATATTTCTGGTCTTCTGAACTCTGGCAAGAATCTCCTGTCAAATGCAGTTTCAGGCATTACAGTTCTACTTTTTCAGCTTGCATCTCTGAACCTTTCCTACCTCTTCTCCTTCCTATAAGCCAACTCTAAAAGCTCCTAAGCCACATAGTCACATACTGTTGCAGCAATGACGCCATTTCTTTGGTGCCAAATTCTGTCTTAGGTACTTTTCTTGTTTTTAAAACAAAATACCCAACATCCAAAGTTAAAGGAGGAAAGGTATTTTTTTAGCTCCTTGTCTGTAGAGGTTCTGGTTCATAATCGGCTAGCTCCAAGGTAGGGTGGCATGGCAGATAGGACAGGCATCACAGAGGAGAAAGGGCTCATGTCAGGCAGAAGGTAGCAAAGCTAGCAAGACACGATCACAGTTATTTCTGTCCCTTATATCTTACCTAGGCTACTTAGGATGGGTAGCACTCATAGCCTTATTCCTAGTGCCTTTGATCCTAGCATTGCTCCATGAATCAATCCTAGCATCACATACTCTAGACACAGCCACCTCTGAAAAGGCCCCACCTATGACTTCATGAGGTTAGGGGGGGACATCTAGGTACATGCTATAGCAGAAGTCAAAAAGAAAAAGAGGAAAGAGAAAGGAAATGGATGGGAGACTATTAGAAAATGGGAAAGTATTACAGGAGGGAAAGCATGAGGAGTAATAGGTGATAGAGTGGATCAAAGCATGTGCATGTATGAAAATGCCAATGAAACACATTATTTTGTATAACTAACATGTGGTAATTAGAAATATCAGCATATGCCAAAGCCAAAAACATTTATACACCCAACTCCTTCAAAGATTTCAATATAGCCACAGGTTGTGGGGAAGGGAATCTGTGTTTTGGTGTCTTTGGGACATTTATTCTCATCAGCCTATTTTTCTCTCACTGTGAGCAGTCCCTGAGATTACTAAAAACAGGTAAATATGGAAGTTCTGTGAAGAACTCTCTGTATTTGTCCAAAGGGTAAAATAGTAAGAATGTCCACATTCTAATTCCTGGGGCTTCCTCAAAAGTCTGATTTGGATAGTGAAACCTGGCCCCTTTATTTGGATAGAGTCTCTAACTTCTCTGGCTATGAGCCAGAGTGAAGACACGGTGGCTGAGCAAGAATCCCGGAGACAATGGGAGCACACACAGGAGGTGCCCGGGCTCGCGCTTGCTCCTGACTCTCAGGACCCGCTAGCAGTGAAGGTTGCTGTGCTGTGCCAATGTTTGCCAAGGTTTGTTGTGTCACTGTAATTACAGGGTGAACACAGCTACTTTCCTCAGTGCAAATAAAGTCATCAGAGCCTGCTCTGAGGCAATTGTTTTCTATTAGAGAAATGCTAGGTTTCTTCTCGTGATGAACAACTATAACATAGCCTCTAATTCTTATAGCTGTCATAGAATGCATTCCAAAAGCAGAACCTGACTCTCCCTGAGCCAGGTCCTCAGAGTGCTCAGAAAGAGTGGCTGTTTTTCCCAG